CTTGGAGAAATACCCCAGAGATGGGGGTCGCGGGGGGCACCCCCTGCCAGCCTGGCCACTGCTGGGGATGGGCAGAGCAGGGCGGGGCCCCACACCCCATGCCCCACCCCTGGGGATGGGTGGCTGGCTGGAAACAGAGAGTGAGGGTAGATGGATGCATACGGGGGAGGGTGAGTGGATGGGTGGATACGGAGGTGGATGGCTGGATGGATGAATGGATACAAGAGTGGATGGATGGATGGATGGATGGATGGATACAGGATGGATGGACAGACAGGTGGATGGATGGATGGATGGATGGACAGATACAGGATGGATGGACAGACAGGTGGATGGATGGATGGAGGGATGGATGGACAGATACAGGAGGGATGGACAGACAGGTGGATGGATGGATGGATGGATGGATACAGGATGGATGGACAGACAGGTGGATGGATGGATGGATGGATGGACAGATACAGGATGGATGGACAGACAGGTGGATGGATGGATGGAGGGATGGATGGACAGATACAGGAGGGATGGACAGACAGGTGGATGGATGGATGGATGGATGGATACAGGATGGATGGACAGACAGGTGGATGGATGGATGGATGGATGGACAGATACAGGATGGATGGACAGACAGGTGGATGGATGGATGGAGGGATGGATGGACAGATACAGGATGGATGGACAGACAGGTGGATGGATGGATGGATGGATGGATACAGGATGGATGGACAGACAGGTGGATGGATGGATGGATGGATACAGGATGGATGGACAGACAGGTGGATGGATGGATGGAGGGATGGATGGATACAGGGGCGGATGGACCGGGTGGCTGGAGACACAGTTACACTGGCATGGAGCGATGGCGCCACCTAGCGGCCGAGGTCGCTGCACCAATGACTGTGCCCGGCCCGGCCCCGGGGCGCCCCCGCCGTACGTTTCTCTATATATCTCAGCCCGCGGGGGCGGGGCGCTTCCCGTGCTGGGCTGCGATATATACATGGGCTCCCGTGAACCCCGCGTGCGTGGCCGGCGCTGCATGCGTCCCCGTGCATGGGTGGCGAGTGTGCTCCCATGTATCCGTGCCGAGTTGGGTGCGCAGCCCGGGCGGGACTGAAGAACGTACCTGTACGCCCAGCGGCCGTATGGGGTACAGTTCGGTTCCCCGGTGCATGGCCAGGACCCAAATATACATTCACGGGGCTCTGTTGTTGCAAGGGAAGGTCTGTGCTCAGCTTCCCCTGGGACCAATCTGGAGTCACCCTGTTTGAAATGGGCATGGAACAGGGTACTCGTATCATCCCCCAGGACAATCGGGAGTCACTCCTGTTTGCAGTGGGGACAGGGAAGGGTTCTGGTCTTACTCCCCAGGTCAATCTGGAGTCTCTCCTGTTTGCAGCGGACCTGGGTTCTAATCTCAGCTTCTCCAGGACAATCTGGAATCACTCCCGTTTGCAGTGGGGATGGGTCACGTCTCCCAAATCTGGAGTCACTGGAGAGAGGGCTGCAGGGGAGGGCGGGGCGGGGGGGGGGGTGCATGGACATGAGCCTCTGTCCATACAGAGACCCAACAGCTGCAGTTTGCTCGCTTCTAAAACTACTCACGAGATACAAGGTCTGGGTCCCCTGGGGGGGGGGGGGGAGGGTCAGACCCCCC